TTACTGCAAAGGATGGTAACTATTTTGAGCAAAACCTTAGGAAAGTATCGCTACTCCACACGCCTCTGTTTACCTCGCAGTAAGTAGGAACCCGGTTGTTAGTCGAATGGCAGATCGCTTTTCTGGGGGTAAAAATCCCTCCCAAAAAATAAATAAAAGATAATTTGGTCCCTCAATCCACGACTGTTTGTAGGACGCTGCTGTGTGCAATTGGCTGCCGCGTTTCTCCCATAAAATATACAGACAATTCACTTTACAGTATATTCGGTGAAGAGCTTTGAGACATCTCGAAGACGTGATCAGGCGCTATGTCAAATGCAAGGATTATTATTATATATTATGATTTTGCAAGCAAGCAAAATCATAGCAAATCCCGACTTTCAAAGCGATAGTTGTAGTTCAGATAGGTAGATAGGTTGGTGACATGTGCCTGCAGGATGGCTGCATTAGTTTCTTGTTTGGCTATTTTCAGTGCTTTTTGCCGAGAATGAATTTGAGATTGTCTGCTCGATGTGTGACCGTGCATTGTAGGACATCAAAGTTTCTTTGGGACAAGTCAGCGAGATGTTACCCTACATGAGAGCTGCTGTTTAAATGCAAGTTGTTGTTGTGGCTCAGTTGGATATCCAGGGACAAGAAGGTGTTAATATGAAGATGTGGGACCTCTATGTTATTAACTCTTGTTATATGACTGTTCTCCCAGGATGAAACCTCAGACCTCAATGAGCCTATGATATCCTGTGGCAGTTGGTAATAATGGAGCTGAGGCACTATATCAAATGCAAGGATTATTATTTGGTTGTATTAATGTGAAGCAAAATTAACAGAGCAAATCTCTATAAAGCTCCCCTCTGCTCTCCCTCCCCCCGCCCCCCAATTTCCCTCCTCACCAACACCAGTGAACGCACAGCACAGTTTGGCTCCTCGACTTCATTGGAAACTTATTTGCTTTCCATTAAAAGCATAAACGTTTCCCATAGAGGATAAATTGAGCAAAGGCACTTTGGGGGTTACTCTGCTCCATTCGCTCGTTCAAGTGAACTTATTAATGCAGATTACTCTGTTTGCAATTGAATATGCATCCTTCAAATGTAACTTCAGAATGGGAGCTAATTTGCGAGATTTCTTACTTAGATTCCTTAAGGAATCCAACTCGCCGCAATGGGGCTCCTTCCAGTAAGAAGGAAATGTGTCACATGGCCAATGGGGTTTGTATCGGATTGCTTCTAATGTTAAAATTGTATTGGAATTTGTATGAGCACCGCGACGAATCTTTTCAAGTGCTAATGCACTGTGCTGTACAAGCGAAAGCGCTCTGGGACGCTACCCTGCATGAGGGGGGGGCGCTATATAAATGCAAGTTGTTGTTGTTGTGCTGAGGGCGACATTTTCCTGGTAGAATCCCTCTGAGCAAATCTGTCTGTTGTTGGAATAATTTTTTCGATCTTTGGTTGAGTTGAGGAGAAGTGGGGTGGGGGGGGGGGGATGATTAAATTACTTGGGTGGAGGGGGCGGGGGTGCTCAGGCTGGGTCACTCAATAGCCTTCAGAACTTCTCCATGTGTAAAGGTCACGGACTGCCACAACAAGTGAAAGAGAAGCCAAAGGGGTCAGTGGCTTCAGGAAATAGCCGGTCCATTGTCGCAGTGAAAAGTTACCACCAAGGTAACAGTGAAACAGAGCACCTGACAGCCGCAGAAACCCATATCCAAAGAATTCAGACATTTTCCATCCAATCACTCAATGTCCCGGCAACATTCCCCCAAATAAAATGTCATGGCTGTTTGTGGAACATTGTTGGTGAGCAATTGGGCCACCTTCACCTACAATATACAGCCACTCCACCTCACAATAAATCCAGTGAAGCACTTCGGGACATCCTCTCACGTGATAGGTGTTACACCAAATGCAAAGATTATTATTATTATTAAGTTTACCCGGGGTGCTTGTCTCCACATGAACCGCCTAATGTTATCCACACTTCTGTTCTCACCCCAAACCATTTTTTTATGCCCCTTTTTCAAGGATCTAAAATCTGTTTTAAATAACGATAATAGTGGTAATAATAATTGTTGCATTTGATATAGCCCCTTATCACTTTGTTAAGAAGTCTCAAAATACCCTGTCAAGGGGATTGACTGTATATTTTCTGGGCGAAAATGTAGTTATTGCTGAGATTTACTATTTTCAATCCAACTTTCCATCCAACAATAAATTTGGAGCCAGGTCTAAATCCTCCAGGATTAGGTAAACTGGGTGTGTTCCGCTGGGGAGAGAGTGTGTGCACACATAGATATGGAATTCTTAGTAGTTTGGTTTGGAGATTCTTAAACATGGTGATTTGACAAAGGAGGAGCAATGGCTAGGTCATGCTTGCTTTATAATAGTCCTGAGGGAGCATTCAAGTCAATCTGCAAAGACAGATGGCACCTCACTTTAACATCTCATCTCAGTGCCTCCAATAATACTGTATACTCTCAGGACTGTACTAGTATTGATCTTACGTCATTGTGCAGGGCTTGAAGTCATAGCCTCCAACCTAGATCAGTTATGCTGTACCTGGGTATTATATTTGCAGGGGAAATACTTTTTCTTTAAGAACGGTTAAATGCATTGCAACAAACCCTCACCACAGCTTTTATGTTGGTTGATTACTTTTGGTCAAACAACGAGACACATTTGGCTGTTTTCATACTTTGTTAGTCAAGCCATTAGTAAATTTATTGATCTTGATCTTTTTTTCTAGCTGTTCTGTGACAGATATTCCCAGATTTTGTTGATTTTGTTCTGACAAAAAGGATTGATTTCTGGTGGATACAATGGCCTTGAACTGAAGCGATGTTATAGAAAAATGCAAAGCATGCACACCTTGATAAGCAATCCCAACTAGAGTTAGGTATTCTGAAACTGTCAAACGAAATATACTATTGACCACAGAAGACGTGCGTTCCTACTGCAGAGATGATTAAATGCTCTCTCTCAGGCTGAGGATGAATATTAACTCGCTGTTAATAATTATACAAATTGTAGCAGCCCAAATACAAATATTACATTAGAATCAAATCTGTGCTGTCTGTTTGAGAAATTCTGATCATTCAGTCGCTGACTAAAACTCTTGAGTAGTGGATTTCTAATGGTTTAGTCACAATAATAAATAATAGTAATCCTTACATTTGATATAGCACCTTTCATGTCAGGAGGATGTCTCAAAGTGTTTCACAGGATATTCTGTGAAGTATAGCGATTGTGCAATTTGTAACCTTAAGAAAACACAATAGAAATGACAAAATCGAATCATTAATTCGCTGGGTTAAATTGTGAAATAAAATGACAATAGAAAAGGCAAAATGAAAGAGCAAAGCTTCAGAAATATTTCGATCAACACAAATCAATTGGCATGATAAGGCGCTACATGAAATGTGAGGACTATTATTGAATGGAACTTGCTTTAAGTAACTGTTCCATCCACCTTCTGTCATTTACTAACATTATTTAATAGAAAGCATTTGAGTTAGTAAGAATATGGAAGAAAACAACAAACATATCTTCTGATTGTTTTATTATTTATTTATTTATTTGATATATACTTTAGTGTTTGGATTGGATTTTATATGTCACATCCAGTCTGAAAGAATGAATGAAACCCTTTACAAAAGCATTTTTTATCTGTATAAAATCCACACAATATTCTTCGAAACATTCATACACAAATCTTGAAATTCCAGCATTTGTTTTGGAAATAAAAAAAAGAGTAGCTCCAAGTCGAGTTTGTGCAACGCACAGAAGACAGTAGCTAAAACCCTTGAAGCATTTTAGGAAGAGAATTATGTCCGGGGAGGATTTTATACAGTTTGATGCACTTGAAAGCAGCCTTTGTAAGGCAGTAATGCGGGATACTGTGGCTTTAATGGAGCAATTTCTCCCCTTTAGACCTTTTCAAGGCAAAGTTTGCTCCTAGGAATCCCTCCCCTTTCCTGAAAACGTTGACAATATTGCTGGGACTGGCGGCATGTTTTGCTATGCAGAGAGCTGAGAGCGTTTACAGATTTGCTTTGTTGTGTAACTGCGGCCTGGCTGGAAGCTCAGCTCGCTGTACTCAGGGCTGCTCGTGGCTGAGTCTTGGCAGCCACATAGCAAGATGGATCCAGTGCTGGTGGTGAGTGTTGAATGGCGACAGAGGTGGTCATTTATCTCCTGCTTAGGGTGTGGACACAAAAACCAAAGCAGTTTTGCGCGAGACATGTCAGCAAATGTGATAATTTTGTAACCTGTCAGTTGGATGGAGAGCAGCCCCTTTGGAGTGTCAGGAGAAGAGGAGCAGTGATTTGACATGTATCATTCACAGCCTGAATCCGTCTCTTGCTTGTTTGTTTCGGTGGGAAATGATGTCCTTCACACAGGCTCTTGACTTTTTGAGTTTTCCTTCCTTTGTAAACAAACGACCGTTAAGAATTGGACACCCACATAATCAGTGATAATTGTGTGCTCCTCTTACTGCTTTTTGCGTACGTGCCTTTACATACAACAACAACGACTGACATAGCGCCCTTCACATGGGATAGCGTCCCAGAGCGCTTGAGTTTACTTGCAGATATTTTGCCTCAAATGTTTGTTTAATGAACATTGTAGGTTGAAAGTGCTTTGCCTGCTGCAGCTTATAACAACAACAGCAGCAAAATTACATTTGTGTAGTGCCTTTCACGTCGGGAGGACGTCCCAAGGCGCTGACATCCATTCATCAGCAGAAACTCTGACAATATTCAGCAAACATTGGGACTTGTATTCAGTCGGTGTATCTCCATGTTACATTGTCGTTACCCCAGAAAGGGAGGAGAAGTGGGGTGGGTGGGTGGGGGGGGGAGGAACTTGTTCAAACGATCTTCTGAACTTGTGAGTCATTCTGCAAATGCCTGAAACGATTGATGACTGATTTTGTTTGCTGCAAATTTTAACATCTCTCTCTTTTTTTTTCTTTCCTTCTCCCCCAAACCCCGACTCTAGGATCATCCAGAACCGCATCTTGATATTTATCCTGGGCGGCATCATTCTCCTCACCATTGTGCTGGCCATTTATTTTGCTGTCAGAGGACACTGATTTGTCTCTATCCTTCAGTGATTAATAACGACAAACTGCTTGTTCAGTGTAATTAGGACAAATTGATCACATGAATCATCTGGCACTGACAGATTTTCTTCTAGCTCACATCGACTCGAGTGCAAGTGGTGTGTAAAAAAAAAATGTTTTGGAGAAATATCGGTTGCATGTAATTTTATTTTGTTTGTTTTTTGGGTGAGGGAATGACTAGGATTTTTAGTTTAGCTGAGAGTGTAAGGAGTTGATGATGTGAGTCTAGAGTTGGGGATAGGGAAGAGGACGGTGGGGGGGCGGGGGAGGCGGTGTGGGGGGGAGGCAAATTTTCGAATCATGTGCGTCCTGTTCTGATGGGCTTGCAATGTGTGCCGTGCATCTTTGTGGATATGTGCAAAATCTGTCAGCCGCTTGTAGATTATATTTACAGAGGATAAATGACTGAGAACGGTGGTTAACCAAAAAAGAAGTCGTCGAGTTGACTCTTTTTTTAAAAAAAGGGCAAAATGGGCTGCTAATTCCCTGCCGTGACCACTTGGTTTATTTTTGGGGTTGATCCACCGCTTACCAGTTGTTTGTACCACATGGTTTGGAAACACAAGTGCAAATTATTAATCCAATGCTCGTGAACCCCCCCCCGTCCCCCGTCCCCCGTCCCCTCGCTCCAAAGTGAACCTCGTCATGTAAACGCCCAAACATTGTAACTGGGTCTGAACTAAACAACCGCAAATAAACACTTGCGAGCGCAGACGGACAGCTCAAGCGCAAAGTAACGCACCGTGTAATTTTGGGGGGGAAAAAAAGAAAAATGACTTAACAAAATAAAAGTGAATATTCCAGAAGAGGCTACTGCAGTTTTAAATGCTTCGTGTTTAAGATGGCAAACCAGGAGCTTGACTGACGTCAATTCTTCTAGTTTTGCGATGAAGAGCATTTGGTATTCTGTTTAAGGCAGGCTGAATTGTCTTATTTCGGCACTGGCTTGGTGGGGGGCTTTCTTTGCTGTTGCTTCAGAGATGGCAGCTTCAAAGCCTGAAATTAATAGTGAACAAAATTGTACAGATCTGACCATCCCATGTGGGTAGAACCCATTGAGGTTATCATTATATTAAAATCCACCAATTCCACAAACCTCATCTGATAATGACCTCTATAGTTTTTCATTACCATGGCACCCGCAGATTGTCTACCCTACAGGAGAAGAAGAAAAAAAAAATTGTGTTCCTTGCTATATAGTTTTTTTTTTCTTTTTTTAAACCTGTCAGATCATTTCAGTATTTCAAACCTGAAGAAAACAGCCTGCCTGAAAATGTATTTGAAGTTGTAATAGTGTCAAAAAGTCACGGTTGACTGACAGATGTCAGTCCCTGTGGACCTCATTAAATCATAAAAACTTGACAAGGAAATAATTGTGCATCACCGACAAACCTGGCTGCTGTTTAAACATTTTATTTTGTTTCATTATCAGGAGCAACTATTTTGTTCATTAAGAAATTGCATTAAACAACAGTTTTGCAGCTAATGATCTGTTCTGGGCTTATGTCTGTTTTCTTTAAACATCAGCCGCTTCGTGTGGTTTCTTTGCAGTCATGCTATCATCTGGCAGAAATCTACCACTCCAAGCTACGGGTACCATTGGAATATAAAATGGATTATTCATTACTTGTGACTTATTTGGTTTCATGTAGTGGTTGAGGGCTTCGCTGCCTTTCACGGAGAAGGATGAAAACTTGTCAAAAATAGGTTATATCTTATTCTCGGGGCAACAAAATCAGTGGGTACACACACATGCTTCAATGTTTAATTAATGCAGATTTTAACTCCTTTACATGACTTCAACTGTGAGTTCCACACCGGCAAAGAAAACCCGCACTTACAAAATACTGCCCGTTAATTGGCAACCTGGAAGTATGTCATGATTTATAAATTACTGCTAACTTCAGGTTATATTGTCTAATAATGAGATCCTTTTAAAAACCTATCCATATTCATGTACTGATGTGTTGCCCACGTGTTTTAAAAGCAGATTTGTCATGTGTGAATTTGCCATTACTGTAATAACCGCTTCCAGTAAATATTTTCCCGATGTATATTTATTCAATCAGTTTTGTACAAAGAGCGATGGATTCTGCCTTTATGTTTGCTTTCTCCATGTTGTCCTCATATTAGATGTATGGAATGTGTATGTTATTTAACGTATCAATTACAGTATTACATTCCAAAAGAACAAAGTGTCGTGTCGCATTTTTTCCTGCTTTTATATAGAGTGATCACATTTCAAAGCCCTGTGTTGTACATACTTAAAGTGTTTTTTTTCTTCTTCGAATTCAAGGATTTTGATAACCCAAGTGGATATATGCTGTCTATTGATTTTTTTTTAACAATGACTCCTGGATAACCTATTTTCTCATTCATTTTTAAACTGAACTCGTGAGATTTTAAAGCATTTCTGCCCAGACTCTGAAAATCAAAATCCCTCTTTGACCCCTGAAATTCTAATCCCACTATAGATCACAGTTGTTGAATATTATCTTTTTGCAAAGCTGGTAAAACAAAAATGTCCAAATCACTAGAAGCAGCAGGTCATGACTGCAATTCTAATTAGCGAAGCAAGGGATCATTCTATAACGCCATTTAACCACATCAAGACGCACTTCTGTGCTTATTTATTTACATTTTGGTTCCAACGTTGCAGTCTGTTTAAGACTCATTATGGCTTCAGATACATACTTATGGAACTCACATAACTTATGCATTATTCTAACTAACTTATACCTTCACAATTTAGCAGCAACATTTCAATGGTGTGAATGAAGGCAGACNTTTTTTTGCTTTCTGCAGGAGCTTAGATGGATGAACTTTGGTTTGAAGAATATTTACTTAGTGTTTTGCAGGATTGATTAATCAAATAGTACCACAATCGAAAGCATTGCTGAACTCGCATCGAAGTGTGTTTAAATGGACTTGGTAAGAGCAATAAAGAAACTTCTTGTGCTTTGCTTCTGTTCTTAGTCATCAGCATTTTAAACCACACTCAATGTTAAACCTGTCAGTCAGGTTTGTCTTGAAACAGAAGAATACTATGACAGGAATATGAAGAGGTGAAAACCTAACCATATAAATGCATTATGCTCTCTGACTGAAACCCTGCCAAGGACTGGGGAAGAATTCAACATCAACTTTTCTTCCAAACTCTAATCTGCCTCGTCTCACCTCACTGAAAACCATCTGCATCTATTGAGTGAAGCCAAACGGAAATGTCAAGGAATGCATGTAAATATGTAATAATAATTATTCTTGCATTTGCTACAGCACCTTATCACGTCTTCGAGACGTCTCAAACCCTAAGTGGAGTGACTGTATATTTGTACATATAGAACGGAGCCTCCATTATCTAGACACCTGGAGATTGGGATGATGGCGATGCAGTATTTTGTCTATATAATAGAGAATTGATCCAAACCTATTACATTTTCCTCTCCTCCAGTTTTCTCCCTCCTAAAGCCGTTTACTCATGCTGAAGTAAGAGTTCCGCTGACACTCGCTACCCTCCAGGCCCCTGTCCGATTGATAATAATAATAATAAATAATCCCTGCATTGGATATAGCATCTTATCAGGTCTTCGAGACGTCTCAAACCACTTCACAGAATGTACTGTAAAGTGAATTGACCGTACGTTTTGTGGACGAAACGCGGCAGCCAATTGCACACAGCAGCGTCCCACAAACAGTCGTGGATTGCGTGACCAAGTTATTATTATTTCTTTATTTTGGAAGGGATTATTACCCCTAGTGATCCGCCAATCAACAAACAACTGAGTTCCTACTGACTGCAAGGTAAACAGGTGTGTGGAGTAATGAAATCAGCCCAACATTTTGCCCTGCCCTCCCGGGCAAACCCAGGTCCTCTCACTTGCGAGACGAGTGCTCTAACCACTGAGCTACAGGCCTCGACGGTGACAAAGGGCAGAAAGTATGGTTGTTTTTTTACAGGAGTGCTGAGGCCAGGATTGGAGCTTGGCTGCAACTCCAGCTGAGATCAGTTAACTCAGTGTGGACATCTAACATGGAACCTTCCAAGTCTATACTGTTAACGCCTGGAACTGACTTGATAAGGTCCTACATCAAATACAAGAATTATTATTGTATTATTATCACTATAAGTATAACTTATAATTCTAGATTGCACTGTATTGTTTGCGTTTGTGTCTCATAGATGGAAATATAAAAAGGGAGCTGCAAATTTATTCAAAAGTGATGTAAATTCATAAACTAACTAATAGCTAACCCATTTAAGGCTTTTCTCTCTTTCTTAACTCAAGTACATTTCTATTCCATACACGTCCCTTTGTTTTATGCTGAATCTCATAACTTTAGATTTCTCCGTATTAAACTGCATCCGTCGCCTTTCTGCCCACGTCTAAATTAGTCTAAATTTAGCATTTTGACATTCAGCATTTGCCTCCACACCGAGTTTGGTGTCCTCTGCAGTCTCGGACGCTTTTGACGAGACGTTAGTCTTGCCATCATAATCAAATCATCTGTAAAATAATATATAAAACACAATCGTCCTAATGCTGAGTTCTCTATGGTACACCAATAAAAATTTGATAACTACCTATTCACCACTAGGTGCTGCTTTTCACCAACGACAATAGTTAATAGTCTAATACAAACCGATTTGTCCCATGGGCCTTAAGCTTATTAATAGGCCACATTAGTTGTGGGACTTTTGTTTCCACGTCAATTGAGTAAACGTGAGGTTTGTAAAAGGGCCCCACAAGCGCTGCTTTAGATCATTAGTTTTCACCGTTTTAAATTCTTTTTTAACGTGCGTATTTTCTTCAGGGATAATGATGAGGTACTGCCTTGTGACACTGAAGCACTTGCCTTGGCCGTGTTGTGTCACTCGGTCTAAAGTTGCCCCGGTCGTCATTGTGTTCGGTGAATGTTGTTCAACAATTTAGAAGACCACTTTCATCACATAAACATATCTGCACAATGGAACCCTTTTATAGTGAGATGATGTTGCCACAACAACCTACTGGCAGGAGCTGCCTTTGACAGTTTTATGAAATGGAGAATGCAGGAAGTTCACGTCAATGGCTCCCTTTTGCTCAATGTGAAATAGTTACATTCAGGGCTGCTTCAAAGATTGATTCAAGGATTTTCTATATTTGCCTCTGCTTCAAGTTGCCAGGCTGACCCGGAAACCGACTACATATTTCACAATTGGGACTGTGGTCCTAAGGCTGACTGTGTGTCTTGGTGCTGAACTAGAATTAATTATTTTAAAAAGGTATAATTGAGATTCAGGCGGTGTGGAGCCTCAGATGAAGAACCTGTATGAGTTGCACGCAACGATTTCCTTGATCTCTCAGACTTATTTTGCTGCTCTTTACGGACAAGAAAATCAAAGGTGAGTGCTCTGATTTTCATTTTAAAGACGTATCAAGTTCAGTTTACATGGACACCGAATTGAGATATTGTAATTTTTTGAACATTTTCGTTAGCCAAAAAAATGTGGTTTCTCTATATCCTAAGAATATAAGAATTTGCTGGCGAAGAAAGACCAAGGTCCATCTAGTTCGCCTTCTACCGTCCTGGCAGTCACTTGACATGTCATGCCCCAAACTATATACTGTATCCCTGAGATATTATTTTCAAGCAGAAATCTATCCCATTTGTTCTTGAAACAAACGACTATTTCTGCTTCCTAAAAGTATGTTGTGCTGTACAGCACACACCGAGTTATTCATAAATACCGTTCGGACGACTTTTATGTGGAATTTTAAACCAGGTCTTCAGCAGAAATCTGGTCATGGGAGCATTCCCATGCAATCAACGGGGCTGGGCTTACATCACATGGCCACTGGAACTCCACTCCAACTTAATCTACTCTGATTTTTTCAGCTTCCTTGGGAGGGAATTGAGAGACCAGTGTCAGTGGAGAAGTATGGTTAAATACTGCTGGGTGGAAGGTAGAAAGGACTTGATGGTCCTGTTTTCACTTATTACTTTCTGTTCATCTATATGGAATCCCGCTTGAAATCGCTGGCTTTTAGACCCCAATAACCAGCTGTAGTAGATTGACACAAAGCTCAAAGCTCCTGAGTTTAGGTGAATGCCGTTAAAAGGTACCCTTACTAATCTGATGAAACCTTCTCAAACCTTTCACTGAATGTGGCCTGAGAGACAATATCGAAGCTGTGATAAGGTGCCACATCAAATGCAAGTATTATTATTAATATATTATTTGGGAATTTTCCCATCATTTTTCATCTTGGGCCCACATGGCTTTTTTAACTAAATATAGATTTGTTGTGAACAAATTACGGACGACAGCAAAAGAAAAATCATTGATATGAATCTCAGCAGCGGCAAGCAAAAAAAAATAACCTCTAGGGCCAACTGCAATGAGTTGATTTTTCTTAAAAGTTAAGGTGGTGAGTGGCACAGCAGGTTTCTGCGGCAATGTCCTGATATTGGAAGTGTGACTGCAGGACCACAAATAGTCAATAAGTATTCCTTATTAATATAAAAACAGATTGAGACTTTGAGCTTGGGGTCCAGGCTGACGTTGCAATCCGGTGTTGGGGGGGGTGGGGGAGCGCTATATCGTTGCAAGCGTCATCCTGTGAACAAGACGTTAAACTGAGGTCCTGCCCATCCGCCTGTTCGTGTGGCTGTTAAACATCACCGTGACGTTTATTAGAAAAGAGGCAGGAGCGTCTGTCTGTCTGCCGGTGTCTTGGCCAATATTACCCCAGATGAAATTCATTTTGTGCCTGTTTGAGGGACATCGCTGCGCACAAATTGGCAGTTGGGTTTGCCTACAAATACACATTCAATCCACTTTACAGGAATTACCTGTGAGTCGCTCTGAGGTGTTCGTTCTGATGTAGTAAGTGTTACAGTAAATCCCAGGCTTACCGGAATTTGAATGTTACTGGACTGGGCACGTGCCAACTGAGTAACAGCAACAACAAAATTACATTTGTTATAGCACCTTTTCACATCGGGAGGACATCCCAAAGCGCTGGAGTAACCCACGTGACCCATGTAAATGAATAGAAAGAAATAAAGAAACAAAATTGAGACCACAAAACCTTGTTAATGTGAGAGACGTCAGTTGAAGTGTTTTTGTTAAACTTTGCTTCTAATCTAATAATAGAAGGTGCCACTCGAGTTTGCTGTGAATTGTCTGGATACACATAGTCAAACACT